TGATTCAAACGTACAAATTTTATGTAATGTATGCGAATAACTGCAAATGTTTCAGTATTTTCCAGTTCTATTTAATTATGGTTATTTTGTTGTATCATTTGACTAGGTTCAAACTTATTTTTTGAGTTTCACCAAAGATTATAGTATAGCCTATTAATTTTTTATTTTCAAATTTTATCCGCATCAAAGCAAAATTGTGTTGCATAATCGCCTCTAACAGGAACCAATGTTGAAAAATATACAAATAACAAATAAACATAACAGATGTATTCTACAAACCATACTGAAAACTTCGGTATATAATATGTTGATATTTATTTGAATTTGTGGCCAAAGACCTCTGAACTATGCACTAGTCATCATCTCATTTCGCCGTCCCGAAAATAATTCGTCTGCAAGCCGAAAATTTTACGTAGCGAATGAGTTAAGATCATGATACCATTAAGTCCACATGCACAAAAATTGCCGAAAGTCTGATTCCACAATGTCGTAACACAGCGAGTTACAGCTATAACAAACTGAACCAGCAAGCTACTTAGTGACTGATGAAGAGAGGGTAGTACCCAGTTGATAGGTGTTATAAATTTGTTGTTCTTTTAAAATGATAAGTATGAAAATTCTGAAGTACAGTATTTCAAAACTATAACGGTATCAATCCGTCAAAGTTATCATCACACTACCTCTGCCTGAGATGGGCAAAAGTACTGAATGAAGCATTTTTACAATTTGTAAACTTTATGTAGGCCTACTATTTTAACCCAAAAAATCCCAGTTAATTTTTATCAAAATGGACACCAAAACCGTTTCTTATTTCCTAAAATATATTTTTTTCCCTCTCTCCTGATAAAGAGGCAAATGGTACTATGAGATAAATCTCCTGCTTACATTTTGTTGAATGAAATGCCAAAGTGAGAATTAACGGGTAACTGGAATGAAATATTTATGCATGGCTTCTAAAAAGGAGTTTGAAAGACAAAGAAGACTCCAAGACAGCAATATACTTCAAAGTACATGATCTTAAATGTATAATGAAACTTGTCAACATCATTGTCTTGACTATTAAGGTCCAATAGAAAAAAAAAAAGAAACATTTCATCTCGACTCCCTAGAAGACTAGAGATAAAAGTTACAAAAATACAAATTTTTTTTTTCAAATGGTCAAGTTTAAAACCCTACTAGACATATTTTATATGATGCTTAGAAAAAATACAATTGTAAAATATAGATAAAACAATTTCTCACAGGATCACGTTTGTTTATGAACACAAACATGCTCACAGAAACACAAGACGAGGTATAAGTTGTAATGTTGTAGAGTTAAAAGTTTCTTCTAAGAATCTGTGTAGAGAAAAAAACCCCACCAAAATATAGGGGGAACATGATTTTATATAATTATATTCCAAATCAGCTTTGGTCATGAGTGTGACAAGCATGAAAGCATACACTATATTTCTAATATACAGCTCTCATAGTTTTATGCTGTAGCAAGCACAAGCGCATTATATCAGATGCAAAACGACAGGAGCTTTGAAAAAAAAAATATTTGAGCAGAGACGGTTTGCCAAATGAAATATCTTGAGACATTTAAAAGCACTGTAAAGCATGCAACTGGTTCTTGTCATATTAAAAAAGAAAATGGGACAAGTCAGAACTGTAGGCACAAATGTAAAGGCTGTCAGGACTTACCAAAAAAAACCACATTGGGATAAATTCATACTTTTTTTCCTAACCCCGACTCATATTACCTGGGTTTCCATTTCTTAGAATATGAAGCAGGAAACAAAAGAAGACAGATATGTAGACAAAATAAAAAGTGGGAAGATAACATTGGTGAGGGAACTGAACAGCTATTACATACTACCCCCACACATTACAAAGCTGCACAAAGTTCTTGACCCAGTAAGTAAAAATTTGATCTTAAATGATTTGAAACAGAAACTGTGGTTTCAGAAAACAATGTTCATGACAGCACTGTAGTAGTGCAATCCATTTACAGGTTTTCTAAACAAACTGTGAACTGATGCAAAGAAAAGAAGAAACATAATATATGCACGTATACACATTCCCCACAGGTGACAGCTTAGCAGACAGAAACTATTGTACAAAAAGTATTTGTGAGAGTATAAAAGAGCATATATCATAAATTCACAATACCTACAATACATGTTATACTCTATTTCAAAGTATAATCTCTTCAAAATTAGTCATAAGAATTAGTCAAAAGATGAAATGTGATCAATGGAAGATGGGGGACTAAAAGTTAGGTAAAAATAAACTTCAGCCTCGTCATTCTCAAAACACTTCTTGACAAAGGCATCAGTTCGTGCTGCATCGGGCACAGTTTGTGATCCCTATGGGCAGAGAGTAGGGCTAGATTTAGAGGTCAGTTTCCTATAATTAGACCCGTTTTTCAAATACCATTGACTATTTCTAAAAGGAAATATCTTCTTTCTATGAAATAAATCTTCCAAAATGTGAATCTGCGATTGACTTTACGAAATGCATCTAATAGAAACAGTATGCAGAATACAACCTATTATGACAAATGCCATTGGCCTACGTCACAACAGCATCTTGGCTCGTTTGCCTTATAAGAAAAAATGACGAACGGCGTACGTCATGTAGGTCACAAAGGGGTTAAAAAGAGTCTTTCCAACACATCATTGTCATGTGTGTACATCAATAGCTTGGACTTAACTGACCAACTATGTTATAACGCCTCAAGGCTGTAACGTGACCTTCTTGGTAATAAAGGATAACTTCCGTTACTACTCATTCTCACAGAGGTCTTGTGTTTGTTTGTGAGCACGTTTTATAATTATTCGTCAAGCTATAAGCATAGCCAAGAACGTAACAAAAAGTGTCTTTCCAACACATCATTACGGCAACGCATAGGTGGCCCCAAACAGAGTGGAGACCCCAGAGGTCAAGGAATTTTCAAACGGGGGGGCTAAAGTTTACTTTTACCTTCAGTTATTCCACAAGTGAAAACAGTGAGATGTATATGAAGTTAATCCATGCATACTCATGTTGAGTTTGCCGAAAGATTATATTATGAGTGAAAAAATTACTAAATTGACTGCAAAGTGACTTATGTAACAAATAAAAAATTTTCAGTCAAGCTTTTATCTAGAGGTTTAATTTTTCAAAAGATTCTAGGACAAAAAAATCCAACAGGTTAAGAATAAAGAGATTTCTATAGATCTAGGATAAAGGCACTTAACAAAAAAAACCCATAAAAACCAATACAAACAAGAAAAAAAACTTCTGAGAAACAAATGTTGAACTTCAATCTGATTTCAAAATATCATTATTTTCAAAACTATTTATCAGGATCTGATATTGCGTTATATCGTATAAAGAATGACCAAAATACTCGTCTTCGATAAGTTGACCAAGGAGGTATGACAACTTGTGCAAAACGTAATCTGGCAAACTACATTGTAAAATTAAATAAACATCACCTACAAAGGCACTTAAGCCATTTGCAAAGCTTAAACCCTTTTAAAATGTACTCTTCTTTTGTGTACCGGTACCATTTCTTTTTTATGTCATCAAAAACAACACTGTTTCTACATATGACTATCCTACCCTTTTTTCTTCTTTACCTTTGCACATATAATCGTGAGATGCTTTCAAAAACAGAGCAGACATTGAAACTTGAGTTTGGAAGAGTGAGAAACATTTAAAACGAGTGAGCTTGTTCACATACAATGGAGTCCATTTCATATTTTACATAATAGGCCTACAGAAAGATAGACCACTGCAGGGTAATTTCAAAAAGAATTCTTAAAATAAGAGGAGGGAAAGATATCAACTCTTTATCTCCCTGGGGGGTAAACCCACCACGCTTGGGCCTTATTTTAGTACAAAATCAAAATTTACATATATGTCACTATACTGGTCATTTAATTTTTAAAAGGGAACCTATTTCGATAGTTTTTCATCTAATGAATGATCGCCCGGTAAATGAGATTTGTTTTCGGCAATTGCCGAAAAGTAATTTGATGTCCACGTCCTCGTAAAGGAATGTGCCCAAGCCGTACCGGTGGCTCACAGGCATAACGCTTCCAACCGCAGACCCCTGGGAACGGCTTGCCGTAGATAAAGAGTTAAAGCTTAAACTGCAGAGAGTTACATTTGATACTAATTCATTACTACCAGACTCTACTGTATATTCATAGTAACTTGGTCTTTTATATAAAATCAGTCTTGAATGGTCACTTAAAATGAAAAAAAAAAAAAGCAAAATCACACAACTGGTAAACTAAAAAAACTTGTACAAAACACAAGAAAAGCCCACTCTTTATAGAGAAGGAGAAGGAGAAAGCCCATAAGTAGGCCTAATGCTACAACAATTCAATGTTAAAAAAAAACCCGTCTCTACCTAAAAAAACTTTCAGGTACCTCAACATTTTGGTCTAACTTTGTTCTTCAGCACAGATCCGGCTATGATCTTCTTACTGACTGTGATGATTTCATGTGATGAGGACAAGTGAGAGGCATAATTGCAAAAATTGACATCATCTCTCTGTAATCCTGACTTTTTTCCCTTACTTATTACTTCAAGTCAGACGATACAGTATAATTTCTTTAAAAAATTGTCGGCGTCTTATTTTTTGGAACCAGAAGAATACAAGATGGAATTAAAAATGAAGAGGGTGGAGAAGGTATAGAGACATTTCTAAATATAGAAATAATCTGTTGCCATGAAGAGGAGAAAAATAAAAGTGGTGAAGTCTGTGATATGATCTATAGAAACATAATGAATGAAAATGAATGATTGAATGAATGAATGACATGTGGCACTATTATGCTTGAGAGAGAGAGAGAGAGTGAGAAAGAGAAGAGAGAGAGAGAGGAGAGAAAGAAAAGAGAGGGAGAGAGAGAGAGTGAGAGAGAGAGAGAAAGAGAAGGGGGGGAGTGGAGAGGGGAGGGAGAGGGAGGAAGAGAGAGAGAGAGAGAGAGAGTTGCAGAGAGAGGCAGAGAAAGGGGGAAGAGAGAGAGAGAGAGAGTGGGAAGAGAGAGTTAGAGAGAGAGAGAGAGAGAAAGAAAGAGACAGACAAACAGACAGAATGAATGACATATGGCATTATTATGCTTGTATTCATTTACACAGAAGACAACGCTTCTTCAACAGTAACAATTTCAGGTTTTGAGCCCATGTTTTCCAAAGTGATTTCCCCGATAGCCTCTTCCATGATCATTTCTTGAGGGGGAGTATTCTTTCGGAAACATGGCAGATGAAGGAAAACGTGGCAGGCGGCTCCAATAAACAATAGCAGGCCTCCAAGGTAAAAGGAAAGGTCGTATGTACCAGAGGAATCGAACAGGAAGCCTGAAAAAGAAATTTTTTAAAATATGTACATTCCCTTTATTAATCCTCATTAAAAAAATTTGGTTTGCAATGGCAAAATATATCAATACGTACAATATATCAATACGTACCTAACAGATACGGCTAACCATCCATTGCTGGTTGCCACTGTGCAGGCTCCTGGTTTTTTTTAAGCTAATATTATTATGTCTGGAAAAAGCTGGGGTGACCACCCCCAACCCAGCGCGTCACTGGTGGTGGATTTATGGACGGCCTCCAGATATGGAGGTTAGCTGCGAATACTCAATAAGCAGCCGCGGACCAGCTGACTAAAACTACAGAGGGTGAGGTGGGGTAGTTTTGGTGGTTCTGCTACTCTTGTAAAATACCTCAGCAGGTCTGGGGAAGTGGTCATTGATTGAGCGAGCGAATTGAGGTGGTCATAAATAATGCGCCGGTGGAGGGGAGGGGGGGGGCAGAGGGGAGAGAGAGAAAGGGAGAAAGAGAGAGGCAGCTAAAGAGTGGG